GTGGCTCTGAATCGGCCCATCCTTAAACGATCCGGCCTTCTTGACAGGGCCCATAGTTCAAGCTTGAAGGATCCCCGCTGTGTCAGGACCAAACGCCAGGGTCGAATCGACGCAAACTTGCCGTATGCAGAGCCGTCGGTCCTGCATCCTAGCCCCGCGGCCACCATCCGCGTCCCCCCCTCTCCGCTTCTGGGCGGCGGGGGGCCTCCGGGGGGCAGGGGCCTTCTTGGGAGAAGGAGGGGGAGGAGGACGAGAAGGAGGAGGAGTAGGAGTAGGAGTCAAGCTAGCCAGCTCGAGCGAGTCAAGCATGGCATGCCCAGTCCCACCCGCCCTCCCACAACATAAGAAGCAAAGCTGGCACAACTGGGGGCCGAAGTCACACCGGCCAGCCGGTTTGGTACAGCTGATGCGGCCGCGATGGCGGTTGCCGACGGGAACTGGCGAGCGCGTGTTGAATGCCGCGCACGCATTGCCAGACGAGTCGAGAATGGCCCGGTACACCGCAGGAAGCCAGAGGTGGCCGGAGGAAGCCCGACGGTCTGACAGGACACCCCAAAGCATTTTTGTGAAAAAGCATTGGGTTTTTGATGTTTTTATGTTGAAATGCTTGCAAACACACGGTGTTCGGTAGGATTCTGACATGAACGCGCGAGTGTGCTCTTTGTGGTATTTTTTGCACAGGATTCGCGGCCTGGGTGCATGACAGAGCATCGCGAGTGCACCGCGCGATGACGTGAAATCGCTGGATTTGACCGAATTCTTAAGATTCCTATGGTTTTCCTATGATTTCAGCAAGAGAGCCCGGGCGGGAAATTTGTACAATTTTTGTGAAAAAGCATTGGGTTTTTGATGTTTTTATGTTGAAATGCTTGCAAACACACGGTGTTCGGTAGGATTCTGACATGAACGCGCGCGTGTGCTCTTTGTGGTATTTTTTGCAATGGATTATCGCCGTGGACGACAGGACGTCCATGTCGAGAGGAAAAAATAAGAAAAATGTTGATTTTGTATTGTTTTTTACAGGTTAGGATGGGACCACCCGGATGCGGCCCCTATCTGCCGGCCTGAGGGGGGAGTAGGAGTATATTCTAATAAGGAATAAGGATAGGAGGAGGAGGAGGAGGAGGAGGAGGATGGGGACGAGGACCAGGACGAGGACGAGAACGAGGACGAGGAGGGGAAGCGAAAGACAGACTGGGAGGATGAACAGGATGAGAAGGATGGGCGTTATAATACGGGGGGAGGATGGAGGAGAAGGAGAAGGAGAAGGGGTAGGACGAGGAGGATGAGGGCAAGGAGGGGGAAGTGTGCGAGTTGGGGGAAAGAGGTGGGGGGTGTGTAGGCGAACGATAATGAGGAAGATGTTGAGTAGGAGGAGGGGGAAGAGGAGGAATACCACGAACAATAACAATACGAGTACTAATAATGATACTACTTCAATAATGGTAAGAAGAAGAAGCTCTGTGATATTCGCGCGGCTGGTTTACCGTGCGTAGGACACCTTGCCCAGCCCATACTACACCAGAGTTACGCGAGCTCTGTTTGCTTGCGGATCCCCGTAGCAGAACAGGGCGGGAGGCGAGAGCCTGTCACGCCCATCTCGCAGCAAGCTCTTGCCTGTCCGCGGGTCCTTTCAGGCGACGACAGTGTTGCCTGAACAGCCTGCGTCGGATCGTGCCGCCTGAATCTAGACATGTGAAAGGGGAGGCTGGAGGCCACTGGATCAGCTACCTGCGCCTTGTCGTGCTGATCCTCGAGTTCCTCGATGCTCTGGCGGAGGAGCGAGGATCAGCAACTCACGCAGATGGCTGCTTCCATTGGTTCGGCGGCTTGTGAGCCTGAGTGGCTGCCTCCGGCGCGCTGAGGCCAAGAACCGATAATTCAGGACGGTCGACATTCGAAGAGGGGATCGGCCAGGGACGGGCTGGGGATACAGTAGAGGCCCATGCCAAGAAACACCCTGCTTGCCTCCAGGGTGCCCTGGGTTTCTTGGGTTTCGATGGTTTTGCTGTGGAAAGCGTGACGTTCCCACACCATAAATCCATGGACGTCCTGGGGTCTCAGGGTTGGGTTTCTTGAAGGAGGTTTCTTGTGGACTAGCCTTAAGGCGGGCGTGTCCCTCTACAGGAGGAAAACTCAAAATAGTCAAAACATTGTGTAGGAACGACTTTCTGAGCATTTTTGGTGTACGTTTTGAGCCTTTTGGGGGTATTCTTCTTTTTCATCCAAAATCGGCCTGTAGGGGGACAGGCCCGACCTAAGACTAGCCTCCACTGCAGGCCGCCCTTCCCGCCCTGCGCGCGGCCGCGCAAGTCGAGGCTGATGGCAGGGAGCGCCCCAGCGGCAAACGCGAGAGGATGTCGGAGGAGATGCCGTGGCCCTCCCCCTGGCAGTTTCGTGGCCTGCAGGCAGCTGCGCTGTCATCCCCTGAGGACGAGGCCGCTCCTCCTCCTCCTCCTCCTCCTCCTTCCCCCTCCTCCTCCTCCTCCTCCTCCTCCTCCTCCTCCTCCTCCTCCTCCTCCTCCTCCTCCTCCTCCTCCTCCTCCTCCTCCTCCTCCTCCTCCTCCTCCTCCTCCTCCTCCTCCTCCCCCCTCCTCCTCCTTGCGAGCGCGTGCTGGAGCGCCGGGGGTCTCCCTGGGGGCCGCGCCGCCGTGTCCTGGAGCAGGGGCCGCCACGGGCGATCACGGCAGGCGCCGCTCCGTCGAAGAGGAGGAGGCTCAGGAGGGGAAAAAACACACAGACGCAATGAATCGTCACTCCCCAGGAACAGATGGGAAAGTATGGGAAGTGGGGGGGGAAGACAGAAACCCAGCAACACAAAATACACACATATATATATATATATATATAGTATATGTGTGTGTGTGTGTGAAAATATGGGAAATCCTGTTGTTTGTATGTATTTATGTGTGTGTCCCAGGGCCCTTTCAGCGGGGGTCGGTCAGCCAGAGCGCCGCATCTTGCAGGATCCTGCAGGGCCAGGGGCGCACTGGCCTGGGCTTGGGTGCGGGGCCCTGCAGGATCCTGCGAGATCCTGCAAGGCCCGACTGACCCGGGTCTGGATTGACCCGGGTCAGTGGGTTCCCGATGGAAGAAGACGATGAGCAGGACGAGGACGAGGAAGGGGAATAACAAGCTAGGCGCGCCTGCGCCATGTCCGACATCCTACCGCACCCACCCATCCCTTCCCATTGGGCCGATGCGTTCCTCCTCCGCGGACGCATGGCGTTAGAGAGGACCTTGACCTCCATAAGCGGACCCTTCTTGCCGCGTGATGCGCAGTCGGAAGAGCGGGAGCGGAGTGCAGAGGAGGAGGCGGAGGTGGATGATGAGCAGGAGGACAGAGCAGGAGGCAAAGGAGGCCAGGGAGGAAAATGAGGAGTATGAGGAAGGGTGAGGACGAGGACGAACAACAGCAACAGGAATTAGAGTGGATGGAGGACGAGGACGAACAAAAGCAACAGGAACTGGACAGGACGATGATGAAGAAGGATGAGGACGAGGACGAACAGCAGCAACAGGAACTGGAGTGGATGGAGCGGGAGGGGCAGGGTGACCAGGGGAAGGCGGAGGAGAGGAAAGGAGGGGGGCAGAGACGATGAGGAAGGACTCGGATCCAGAAAAGTTGCCCGCGCTGGGGCCAGAGCGCCGTTCTGAACCGCGGAAGCAAAGTCCCGATCCTAAAACAGGACCAAGGACGCTATGAATGGGAGAACACCAAAGAACCCATCCTGTGTGTAGAAAACAATTCGCAGATTGGGTCGCGCGACGCTCAGGCCGTCTTCGGGGTAGAGAGGAGAATAGTGTCGAGATTGACTGATTGTGGGAGGGAGGCAGGCAGGGGGAAGAAGGACGAGGGACAGGCTGAGTAGTTAGGATGAGTTGGAAGAGGAGAAGGTTTAGAACTCATCCTTGTCTCCCTTCGCGTCGACTATGTATCCTTGCTTACCGCCCTCTCCGCCGCCTTCTCCTCCTCGTACATCTCCCCGTCTTCCTCCTCTTTCCCTTTATCCTCGCCGCATTCCTTCCCTCTCCTCCCCATGATCCTGCTCGTCGGGATTGGTATCTTGCATCTGTGTCAGCCTGAGTGTAGGGAGCGCGCCTCTAAGGTAAAGCCCGAGCAAGCTGGGCGAATCATCGGGCGCCAGGCCCGGACGATCAAGGCGATCAATGAGAAGACGGGGGCCTACGTCAAGGTCCAGAGCAAGACCGACATGGACGACAAGGCCGCGTGGCGCCAGGTCCGGATCACCGGCAGCGAGGAGCAGAGGCAGGATGCCCTGAAGCTCCTCCTGGCAGAGGTTACCCACGCCAGGGGCGAGGACGGAACCATGCTGAAAGAGGCCGCCAAGGAGATCTGGCAGAAAGTAAAAGCAATGGTAGAACATCAGGCCAGGAGACGTTGTCACACGGTTCAGCATCGACAGGGGTCAGGGGGAGAGGGGGAGCAACGTGGACCATCCCATGTCGCGAATAAGGGGTTGCCATCCCAGCACGTGTTCTGTAGGGAATCTTGCATTGTGCATCCAGTGCGAGCTAAGTACAGTTGCAAACAACCTTTCCCAAATGATCCAATGTGGATCTCGAAGGATCAGAGCTCTTTCCATTTCTATTTGTTGTGCTGAGTTGTGCTGTTCCATCCCCGTTCTTCGCGAGGGCTCCGATCGCGCCGCTTCGGACGTCCTGCCGTGAGCGTCCCGAGACCCATGGGGCGGTTCTTCCATACCAGCTTGCAGGCCCCTCGCCAGCATGCACGTGCCACGAGCGTGCCGAGAGGGCTTCCCTCGGGCACCAAGTGGCGCGCGCCCGCCACCCGTGGCTCGGGCGACGCTGCAGCACGCGGCTCCGAGGCAGCCTTTGCTGCCCTCCGGGGGGCCGAGCGCCTCCAGCCACCGCCCTGTGATCCCCGACCCCCAACTCCTCCTCCTCCTCCTCCTCCTCCTCCTCCTCCTCCTCCTTCTCCTCCCCCTCATCCTTCTCCTCCTCCTCCTCATCCTCCTCCTCCTCGTCTTCCTCCTCCTCCTCCCCAACGGACGATAAAAGTACAACGCGTCATGTGCAACCTTTTCCAGCAGAGTGTTCAGTCTCACTCACCTGGTCAAGCCAATGGTCTGGAATGGTCCGTGGACCTCGTCCTTCGGAGGTCTTGGATTCCGCACTCGGCGTGCTCGTGGGTCGTGATCCCGAACACGCATGTCGCGACCTCACAGGGACTGAGCCCGTTGGCTTGGACTTTACCCTTGTACCCACAGGCCCCGGATTTCAATCTACTTTCGGCGCCTTTCTACTTCAAGCGTCGAGCGGTTGTTCCTCTTCCCTCCTCTTCAGGGGGCGGGCGGAAGCCCAATCTAATTTCAACGCCTTCCTACTTCATATGTCTACCTACTTCTTCCGACCGATGGGTACTCGTAGGTTTGGTCCCGTACTCGTACGCTCAAGTCGTGGTCCAGGGCTTGCGGGCCTTCGTCGCACAGACCCATGGTGGGAAGAGCACTTGGCCTTGGACTCCGCATGTTCTCCTTGCCGGCGCTGCCCTCGAGGCACCATGTGATGTACATCAAGCAGGGGCGAATCGTCCTGGCTCGCCTATAGGCCCACCAAATTCTAAGAACCTTTTGTGGGTCGCGCGAAATTTTCTTAGAACATAGTTGGCTGGGACCGTTTTGTGTTAACACATCGGGTTTATGTTCTAAGAACACTGTTTTTGTTCCTGCTGGGACATCTTGGGGTTCTAAGAACAGCTCGTGGTAGGCCTGTAGGAATGCTGGGACTGTCGGCCCCTGCTCAAGCACAGTCAACCCGCACCTAAAGGATGGACATCCTTCTCAAGGGTGCCCTTGCATCCTTGCCTCTTCGGTCCACCCTCGGCCACTTTCGTTGGCCGCGCTCCGCTCGAGAAGCTTCGAAACGGGCGCCCACGGCCCTTGAATCCTTATCGCGCACCCTCACGGTACAGGCCAACTGCATCAATGCGCAACCAGGCGACTTCCAGCCGCTGCACACGGCCACGTTGACCTCCACGACGGTGGGCTTGATCACGGTGCGATGCCCGGCGCGTCCCCCCCCCCTGCGCTAAGGACTCCTGGGGCTCGTGCAGGAGTCACTGGCCTCGCCGCCGGGAGACACCTGCGCGATGACACGAAGCGGCGTTTGACATGAGCATGCAGAAGCAGCGGGTGGTAGCCTTCCTCGGTGTTGCCCTGCTGCTGCGCAATGCTTCGGGCAGGGACAGCTCCACTGCCTACGGGCACACGCGGGGGCGCCCCAGACAAGCGGCAAGCCCCATCACCCGCCCTGGCTCAGCAGAATCGCCTGAGCCTATCACTGGCGATGCGCTTCCAGCGACAGCAGACGCGGACGCAGCGCTCGTTGCCATTGGCACCTATGGCCGCGCAGGGCTGCACGTGGCATGCGGTCGAGGAACTAGCGGCTTTCGAGAAGCCATGATGCAGCCTGGCTTGAGCCCGATGGCGACTTCCAGGAATGATTGACCACGCATCCTTCACCATTACCGGTACTCGTGATAGCTCTGAGGTGCGCCCCACACTCTATGCAGTGGGCGAAGGCGCCGATAACGATGACAAGGCAGAGGAGAGGGAGAAGGGGGGCTAGGAGGACAGAGGCTGGAGATGAAGAAGGATGACCTTGGGATTTGAATGGGGCTCTGGCGTGTTCGGTGGTCCTGAGGAGTTCTGTATGTGCGAGGGTGGCGGAGAAGGACGGAGAGAGTGAGGAGGAGGAGGAGGAGGAGGAGGAGGAGGAGGAAGAGCAGGAGGAGCAGGAGGAGCACCAAGACACCCGACGTCATGATTGTTTCATGACCCGACCCCCAGATGTCCAGACCCATTCCCCGGGACCGGCTTTTCGTCCTGAGTCGTTTTTCGACGGTCCCGAGGCCCGGTAAGGGCCCCATCAGGAGGCCGAAACTAGCGGCGAAAAACCTCCCGTCGTGATTTTTTCACTGCGCGAGGGGATAGTGGCAGGAGGCGTGCCGAATCGCCGCCCCCACGCCGCCCCAGACACCTGGGACCGGGAGCTCCTCTTGGTCGCTCCCCGCAGCAGTTGGCACGCTCCCACGAGGACCAGCCGATGCCACCGCGTCCGCCGCCGCCGCGCCCGCCTCCGAGGTGGCCGCCCCCGACGACGATGTTCACGACGACGATCTCGACGACCACGACCACGACCACGACCACGACGATGACGACGATGACGACGACGACGACGACGACGACGACGAAGAGCACGACGACGAAGAGCACGACGACGAAGAGCACGACGACGACGGAGAAGGGCACGACGGCGGTGGCGACGACGGTCGACGACCCGAGGCGGCCGCCGTGGCCCCAGGGACGGCGCGGGCCAGATGCCGGGGGCGAGCGCCGCGGCGGCGGGGAGCGCCGCGGCGGCGCGCGGAGCAGCAACCCGGTTTGGGTCCCCATCGGCCGTCTGAACGCCCCGTACGGAAGGTCGACTAGACGTAAGTCAGGAGCGAAAGAATGACGTACACGTACATGAATCCACGCTGGTTTCGAGAGTTCGCATTGCGCGAATGTTCGTATCACGCGGCCGGTCTCGCGGGTCAAGGGGCCGTGTTCATGTACATAGCTGGGCGCGTACGTCCCTTGTGGGCTCCCTAGTAAGAGTGACGTTTCGCCGGAGTGACCTTTGGCGCAGGCCCAATGGGGTCCCCCGACCGCCGAAAGGCGATGCGGCAGCAGCGTCTCGCGCGCTAGTGTTCGATCCCCCCGCGGCCCCCCGAAAGCCGCGCACCAAAGGTCACTCTTACCCAGGGTTACTCTTGCGTGTAGCCGACCCATTGGGGAGCTTGCCGGCGTACTCTCGCATCCCGTCAGATCCGAGCGTCGTGCGAAACTAAGGAACGGTCACGACGAACACGTGGGGGCCCCTTTCCGGGGTCCTGGGGCCGCAGAACAAAAAGCAGGGTGAAGAGCCCGCCCAGGGGGAGGCGGGCGAGACCTCCAGGGGTCCACGGTGTGAAACCTCAAGACGTTTGGGTGTAATTGTGGGCCAGCTCTCCTTTCGTCCTCCCTCCCTCCCTCCTCCCTCATCACTTCTCCGTCTCATTCTCCCCTCACTCCTCCTTCAGTACTTCACCAATTCTGACAGTCATCGACAAGAGGATATATTTCTTGTAAAGACTTGGGGAATATCGCGTGTCCCTAACGCCTGGGAACCGGCTGCAGGCGTGAACCCTTGCAGCTTCCACAGGACCCTCTATGGATCCTCATGATAAAGAGGAGGAGGAGGAGGGGAAGGAGGACGAGGAGGATCTCAGGAGGTGTGCAGGAGGAGGAGGAGGAGGAGGAGGAGGAGGAGGACGAGGAGGAGGAGGAGGAGGAGGAGGAGGAGAAGGAGGAGGAGGAGGAGGAGAGGAGGAGGAGGAGGAGGGGGGAGGAAGAGGGGGAGGAGGAGGAGGAGGACGGCGACGACGACCGACGTGGCCCAGAGGCCCCGTCGGTATTGTCGTCGTCCTGTCGTCGTCGTAGCGTTCCTCCTCTCGTCGCCCCTCGTCTTGTCTAGTATACTGTAAGGTGCTTCGCGCAAGGACAGAAGAAGGGGGAGGGATTTGGGAGGAGGGGATGGCGACGGAGGCGGTGCCAGGCCAAGACGACCTGTTTGATCACACTACCGCTGTCGATTCTCGTGCACGCAGGCATTGTGGTACACGAGGCATGTTCAAACATTGTCAAACAAATATAATGGGGACGATGTTTTGATGATGTTTTGTTATTTTTGAGCATTTGGGGGTATTCTTGATGTTCGTCCAAAATCTGCCTGTAGGGGGATACGCCTGACCTAACCATAGTGAACAAAGACGATCCAGTGCACGCAGGCACTGTGGTGTGCAGTGGCGCTGTTGCGCACGCGGGTTCTGGTGCACAGAGACGCTATGGTGTGCACAGGCGATGCGGCGCCATGGTGCGCGCTGGTGCTTCTCAGAAGCCAGGCGAATGCTGGCAAACCCGTGGATGCTAATACGGAGCTCTGGGAGATAGTTTCCTTTCTTCCGGGCAGCAGCCCGTTGACTGTTTGGCGCGCTGGGTTTTATTCCGCCGGGAACTTGTTTGTTTCCTTCCGGGAAGACCGCTTTGGCAGCCACAGATTTGCCAGCCCTCGCCCAGCTGCCGAGCCTGGGTGAGCAGAGGCACTGTGTCGGAGGAGGGAGGTGCGACACCAACGCCACCAGGGGGCCCACCTCCATCGAGGAGGTCCACGATGCCTCCCCGAGCTGGAGGCTGGGGATGTCTCGAGCGAGAGGGGGGGACCACACCACCAGGGAGGCCCCCCTTGCTCCTCGCACATCCTCGCCCTGTTGGTGTTGGTGTCGCCTTTCCTTGTTCCTACTGTGGTGTGCACAGGTGCCTTCTGGTGCACGCGGGCGTGGTCGTAAGCACGCCTGCCGTGGTGCAAGAACAGGCGGTGGTTGCGCCGGTGTTGCGGGGGCGCGCCTCTGGGAGCGCATGCGGGCCGCCATTCCCGTCCCCCCCCCCTGCCGAGACCCCCCCCCCAGTTAACAAACCAGGGCTGGACCTAAACGGTGTTTTTGGCGATTTCCTGGGCCGTTTCCTTTTCGATTTCGTTTTGCGGTAAAGGCGGATTCGAGACAAAAGCGAGGGAAGACGAAAACAAAACGAAAACGAAAAATACCGTTTAGGTTCAGCCCTGTAACAAACATCGCCTCCAATGGATTCACAACGACCCCAGTGGCACTGCTTGGCATGAGGCACCTATAGGGAAACCAGGGAACAAGGGGAACCCGAGGAATCTCCGGGGAACGGGCAAAGTAAGCCCCCGAGGCACCAGCCTACAACCAAGTAAGAACCCCTTGGACGAGCCTGCTTGGGGAAAAACGATCTCCAGCTGTTCCAGAGGTGTGCGTCGTTGCCCTTCTCCCCACTCCCTCCTCGCTCCTCGCTCCCCGTCCCTAACTACTCCTTTCAATGTTCCCCCAGCCCCTCCTCGTTCCTCCTTGGTCCTTGTCGCTCCTCCCCGTTCCGCCGCTTCCTTCGAGCCGACCTTTGTGATTCCCAGTCGCCGCGTCTCCCTCCCTCCCTCTTCCTCCCTCCCTCCCTCCCCCGCTGCCCGGCTCTTCTGGCGCCGACTGCTCCCATGACCTCGGTGTTTTCTTTTTCTCCCCCTTCTCCAGAACTCTCGGCCCCCGACCTCCTGCAAGGGGGTTGCCTGACCACCCTGGTGCTCTGTGGCCCGCCAAGGTCTGCAGTACTTGCGGCCACAACCACCGGACGAAGGACCTCGGGTTGAGCAAGAATGGCACGTGCGACGGGTGTTCTTGATACGGCTGTTTTTGGGCACGTGCGATGCGGTGTTCTTCAGGGGCGTTTTTCCCATTTGGCCACCCCAGGACCCTCACGGATCGTTCCAGCTCGACAATTCATTCTTGTATGGAAAGAGTTCCGAGGGCTCAAACGATTGTGTCATTACGTATTTCCCCTATGTGTGTTTGCACTGACGGGGTCCTAGTGGTACCTCGCTTGGGTCCCGGGTTCCTCGGTTCAAGGTTCTGCCGAAAGTCCGGCCGATTTCAGTGGGTGGTAGGGTTCCCAGGTTCCCGATTCCAGGTTCTCCGCCGATGTGGTCAGTTTCCCGGGCTCCTGGTTCCGGGTCGTTTCCATATGTTCGAGTTCTCGGTTGTAGACAAGGTTTTGGGTCTTCGCGACCACCGTCAGCAGAACAGGTGATGCATAGAGAATAGTTTACGTATCCATGAGTAGAGGGCAGAGTTCAGTACAGAGGACATGGATTATTCATTTTCAATATGTTAGATTTAGCTTGGATCCCAAACAGTGGTGTTTTAGCCATCTACGTGGTGCAATCTATGGTGTGCGAGTTCACTGGCCGAACTTGAAGTTGTCAACTCCACTGCTCGCGCAATCATCCCACCATCCACCCGCAACTTGGTTTGCAAAACCCATGCGGGACCGAGCACAGATATCGCTTCGGGATCGTCTTGAAGCCCTCGGGGGCGTCTCAAGAGCGCCCCAAGAAGGCCGGAGAAGCAAGACGGCCGACGACGACGACGACGGCGACGGCGGCGACGACGACGACGCCGACGTCGACGACGACGAAGACGACGACGCCGACGCCGACGACGACGACGAAGACGACGACGACGTCGCCAACGAAGACAACGACGAGGGAGGAGGGTGGACGACGACGGCGACAACGACGACAGCGACGACAACGACGACAACGACGACAACGAGGGAGGAGGGAGGACGGCGACGACGCGAACGACGAAGAAGGAGGAAGGACGGCGACGCCGACGACGACAACGACGAGGGAGGAGGGAAGACGACGACGAGATGACGACGACAACGACGACGACGACGGCGACGAAATAGGAGGGACGACGACGAGACGCCGACGACGGACGACGACGACGACGACGACGAGGGAGGAGGAGGAACGACGACCATGGCGACAACGACGACGGAAACTACCACGACGCCAAAGAGGACGACGACGACGAACACGAGGAAAGACACAGGACGACGTAGGCGACGACGACGACGACGACGCAGGAGGAGGGAGGACGGCGACGACGACGACGACGACGCCGCTAGAGCGCGCGCGCACGCTTTTGTTGAAAATCCGTGTTGCGACGAAACCTTGTGTTTTTGTAGGTTTTTTGGACGCGCGATTTTAAAATCCTTCCGAAACCGATGGGTTTTGCAGGATTTCGGCGTACGCGCGCGACGACGCGCGCGTCTGCACTTCGTCTCGGTTGTTGCAGAGGAGTCTCGCGGCGGCACACGCGCAAGGGCGTTCGACAGATTTCGACATGCGCGCGCGCGAGACGCCCGTTTGGTAGCATGTTTTGGGGATCTTGAAAAACCAAATGGTTTTCTTAAGATTTCGCAAGAGTTCGCGCGTAAGCTTTTTTGCAAATCAGTGTTACGAAACCACGTGTGTTTGTATGTTTTTCGGAAACTCGACTGCGAAATCCTTCGGGCACCGAAGGTTTTTGAAGGATTTCGGCATGCGCGCGCGACGACGCGCGCGTGTGCACTTCGTCACATTCGTTGCAAGGGATTCGTGGAAAGTGCTATGTCAATACAACAAATGCCATCGCATAATGTGGGGGGGAACCCATTTGGCCTGAGACATGGACATGTGGTCAGAATCGCATGTGACTTACATACCCGAAAGGGGGGGGGCGATAACGCCAGGGGGGTACAGTCTATTTCTTTTTAGAAAGGAGGGTAAATTTCTGTTCGCAGTAAATTGTCGATCCCGCTGCCCACGCAATCATCCAGTACACCCACCCACACTTTTGCTTGCACAAGCCCATGCGGCGGCGATTGCGATGAGTGTTTGGTGTTGGCTGGTGCATCTCTACGGCCGCGCTAGACCTCGCATGCTCGCGCGCGCAGCGGCCAGGCATTTTGGCGCGACCGACGCGGCCGCGGTGGCGCTGACCGCTGGGTGTTTCCTGCGGGCACACTAATTCGAGTCGG